ACCTCACGCGCCTCTCGAAAGAGGCTGGACACCTTCACCGTATCGACCCACTTCCACATGTCCATCATGACCGTGAGCGAATGCTCGCCAAGGAGCCCAGGCATTTCCGCCATGGCGTCGTGGAGAAACGCTGGCCCAGAGGACGAACAACCTTCCCTGCTGCCCCAAACCATCTCCGAAAGGAACCGCTTCAGCCATTGCCGTGAAAGAGGACGTCGTACCCTGGCCCACACGCGCACAATAGCATGAATCAGTGCCACCAGACGCGTGCCTCCACCGTCCTTGGGAATGCGAGCCATCTCAGAATGGATGCGTCCAACTGGCCATGACAACAGAAGTTCGCACTTCATGAAGAACGCAGCCATCGCCTCTAAGCCTTGCCGTGGCAAAAAGCATAGCGATCTCGGCTGGATCTTTGAAGGTCCTGCCGCCGTCTTCCGCTTGAACGATAAAACGGCCTTAGCCATCATGCCCATGGTGACGTACGGTAACAACTCCCATTCACCACAATCCGACGGCAAAGCTATGCCACTGCCGTCGTGAACGGACCACACCTTCATCCACTTACACATCTCACGATCTGCCAACTCATGAGGGGACTGCTCGGGCCCTGCCTCAATGATCTCCTGAGTAGCCTGCAAACGAGTGAATCGATGCGCTCCACTGGCTCCCCTCTCAAAGGCAGCATCAACCAACCTCTTCCATCTAGCCCGATCGACCTTCTCATGTTCAGCGAGCAATCGATCATGCTCCTGCTCAATATGGGCAGAGATCTTGTCAAGCCCCTCACATGCGAGAATAGTAAACACAGGAGCAGACGTGAAGAATTCCGACACCCATGCAGGAAGCAACTCGAGCGTACGTTCACGCCCACGAACGCCATGCATAAACCTCATGAATTCCACCAGCGCTTTAGCCAGCGCAGAATGAACAGCAGCGACGCCGTTCACATCACTGCTCCCGTTCTGCCAGACCAGGAGCTTGCCAACCAACTTCGGGACGTACTCCTTGACTCTTCGGCACTGAACGGCCCAGCGAAGGGCCGCCATCCAGGCCCGTAGCACAGGTCCATGCCGCAACCTTGCCAATGGAGGTCGCCATCTGGGCTGTGCCACCTGCCTCCGCGTCCTGAAATCGATGCGGCCTTTGCGCCGTCTACGCAGTCGCGAACACCCTGCAACTCAAATTCAATGCCAACCAGTAACGCATCCCAAGCAAAGCTCAGATCATCACTGCTCTGGGCGTAAAATACACGTCTCCCCACGTCCTTCCAGTCATAAGGAAACCTCTCGCACCCAATTGGCGGGGCCTTGGGAAATGGTAAAAGCTCGACAACCCGACGTACCCAAGCAGGCCGATCCTCAGAGCGCATGGGCAGCCCCACAGGCAAATGCACCTTCGTGTTGCTGTCCTCGACCACCTGAGGCCTGCAAATACGGGTTCCCAAGTTGGCACATACGATGGCGTAGTCACACACACACAGCCAGGTTGAACTAGCAAGCATGTGGGTCTCGAGGGCGCCGCCACAAAGCCTCGAACCCCCTTCCAACCATCCAGAGGAAAGCATGTCTGGCGTAAGATTTCAATCGCTCATCACAATCCAGTCACGCCCCAAGGCATTCAACACTGAAAGGTACCGAGCCAACTTGACCAGCAGCGCCTCATTTGCTGCGCTCATACCTTCTCCAGACACGAAATAGGCAGCCACGATAACAACCCCGCCTGGCACTAGCCAAGAGACACCAGCTGCAGCGATTCGACCAGGCTCAATAACATGATCAGGAAGGGCGGGCGGAGCCTTGATCACAATATGAGCGGGCGCCAAGATCGCAACTCCACCTGACTTGCCGTCAACCTCCGTCTGCACAGCTCCCCCAAAGAAACCGCGATATCCCAAGTCACGAACGTGCGCCTGCAGGGCTGGTAAGTGCCGCGATAAAGCGCGGCGCCCCTGCACAACGCAGATCTTGGACCTGCAAGACTCCATAAAAATCTTGAGCGGGCCTGGGCCCTCCACATTGACGGTAGCGATGACGCCCTTCAACTTGAGATCCTGCTGGAGCCGTCCCACGCCCTCCGTCTGACCACAACCTGCTTGAGAATCAACATGGTCCCCCCCCCCCCCCCGCCCGCTGCACCTTCAAACTCACACCAGGCGCATCTCCCGCCTCAGAGCCCCAAGCAACACTGCTTGCAGTCGAACCTCGAGCCACGCCAGGAACTCGTTCGTCGACAACAATATTACGAACAGGGGGCTCGACCGCCCCCCCGCCGCGTCCTGTCACTTGTTTTCTGAAGCTGCGCGCAGCGCGAAGTGTGGAGGAGAACCCGCGGCCCCCGAGGTAGGGTCCACCGCCCTCCGCGAGGCCGCCCTTGCCCTTGAACTGACTGAGGAGTTGACACCATGCTCAGGAACGCCCACAGCGCCCCCCCCCCCCCCCCCCCCCCCCCCCCCCCCCCCGACGAAGCCACAGCACTCGAAGTATCAGCAGCTGAGCCCTTGCCATAGCACGTCTGAATGCCAAAGAAATCGCCCTGGTCGAACCCTACGTCGTCGAAGCACTCGTAGTCCTGAGCCAATCGAGCAGAACTGTCATCGACACCAGTGGGCATATTCGGATCAGGGCACTGCGCAGCTCCTTCAGGCTGCAGCGAGTAGAGTGGGTTCCCAATTCCGCGGCATCTCAATAAGGGGCATAAACGACTGCCAGTCGCTGTCGACCTTGATTGAAAGAGGCATCTGCACCAAGCGACCAGCAGCAGCCCTAAGGCCCTCCAAGTCCTTGGGGATGTGCTCCGCGAGGTCCGACGGGTAGAACGCCGACGCCCAGGGCTCCTCCTCCTTGGCGTCGGCGGTGATGTCTGCCAGCGGCTTGGGTGGATCGTCGAGCTGACTGACCTCCGCGCCAAGCCCACCTGCGACTGCGACGTCATCAGCGGCCGCGCCCATTGCTGCGCCTGCCGCGGACACGCGTGCGGGCGGGCACTCGGCATCGCGGTCCTCCAGGGATGCAGCCTCCACCAATCTGGCCCATGCTGGCAGACAAGGACTGCGCCAGGCCACCTGCCTGCTCCGCCGCGAGCCCCATCGCCTCGAGCATCTTGCCCAAGGCAGTCACGTCGACGCACAAGCCCTTGTCCTTCTCCTGCATGTCAGCCTCCTCGGGCGCGAGCAGGGCCCGTTTGGTGAGCTCCTGCACCTGTGCACTGAGAGAGACAACTTCCTTCTCCTGCTCCTCAAGGTCCTGCTGGGTCAACACGAGACTCTCCTGGACCTCCTTGAGCTGCTGCTGCCTTGCCGCCACCAACTCCCGAGAAGCATCAGCCCTTTTCTCCGCCGATTTGAGTCTGTTCGACATCGTCTGAAGCTTTGCATACAGCGGCCTTGACTCCTGCAACTTGGCGTGGAGCCTCTCCTTCTCTTCAGGCAGCGCTCCCACCTAAGCACTCGCCTTCGAGTCGGCGCTGTATTTGGACACAAACGCAAGCTGCTCCTCAATCTCCTTGAGCCTCTTACGCATGTCCGCCTCGTCATCTTTGCCCTCGTCGACCTGCATGGCGTCCCCAGGAGGGGGGGGGGGGGGGCGCTCCTTTTGACTTCAGCCTGAAACGCACGAATCTTCGCTTCCAGCTCTCGTATCGTGCTTTGCCCAGCTGCGTCCGCCTGCTGGGCTTGAGTCTTCCAAGGGGCATCATGGTGCTTGGCCCGGGTGGAAGGCACCGTCGGCTGCACATCCCCACCAAACGTGACTCCTTTGGCGAGCCCGCACAGCACACACTTCTTCGCATGCGCCATGTTCCACCACTGCTTGCCCGTTCTGTCGTTCTTGCAACTCTTGCAGTACCACTTGCACGCGGTCTGCTCCCGAGACCCCATGGCGACGTCGTCTTGTGAAGGCCTGCCCACCTGCTGGGCAGCAGGAGGCAGTCGATCAGCTGGGGCGGACCAGCTGTCGTATGAAAAAAGATTGGTAGCTGCCGCGCACTAGCGGTATCCGATCTTGCCAATGCGGGCTCCGCCCGCACAAACATCAGCCTTGAGCCAACATGGCTACGGAGGGAAGAGGGAGGAGGAGGAGGAGGAGGGAGGAGTGAACGTCCCCTGGAGAGTCCTGGTCACCCAGCCCTTACGCAATCGCTGGATGGCGAGAGCGCGGAAGCGAGCGGCGGCAGGAGCAGACATGTAGTCGTGAGGGCGGGCGTCGATCTCCCCTTTCGTGGCGTGATATATGTAGAAAGGCAATGATAAGCGAGCGGACGACATAGCCGAGAGAGTGCCGACCGACGCGCGCCGCTTCACCTCCCAAGCCTAACGAAACTAAGGTGTCATCATTCAATGGCCGCTGTGGGTCAGCGACAATACTAAGGAAACGCTCGCAAACAAGATAGTGTTGCACGCAATCTACACAGTTCGGGCATCCGAGGAGACAACATTGGAACCCAGGGACTACATGCATTATGTTGCTGGTGGTCCAGGCGCCGCTAAGCGTCTTGAGTACACACCAGCGGATCGCAGGCTTGAGTTTGGAAAGATAGGACCTAATGAAGAGCCACCGAGAGCCGAGATCAGGAGGGAGAGAGAGATCGGGATACCACTTCCTGATGAGGAGGAGGAGGACGACGACGAGGAGGAGGAGGAGGAGCAGTAGAAGGAGCAGCAGCAGCAGGAGGAGGAGCAGGAGAACCATGACGAGAGAGGAGGAGGGAAAGACATGTGCTGCAAGCGTACCAGCGTATCGACACATGCTCATCCCCCATTCCCCTACGTCTCCTCCCACGCCCTTTCTCGCTGGCTTGCGAGCGATACCAACAGAGGCATGGGAAACCCGTATGAGAGCGATAACCCCCTGACCTTCCAAATTTCGAAGTGGTCGTTCGGCTAACGTGCCCGTCATGTTGTCCACGATCCCGAGTGAGATTCACAAGGCATACACAACTTTCACCCCATATGCTTAAACTTCTCACAAAGGGGGTGCCGTGCTGCTGTCGCTCAGGGGAGC